CCTCCCAGCATCTCCCAGTATCCCCCAGTATCTCCCAGTGCTATTCCCAGTCCTTTTACTGGTATCCCAGTGCCTCCCAGTATCTCCCAATATCTCCCAACACCTCCCAGTGCTGTTCCCAGTCCCTTACTGGTGTCCCAGTATCCCCCAGTACCCCCCAGCGCTGTTCCCAGTCCCTTTACTGGTATCCCAATATCTCCCAGTGTTGTCCCCAGCCCCTTACTGGTGTCCCAGTGCCTCCCAGCATCCCCCAGTATCCCCCAGTATCTCTCAACACCTCCCAGTGTTGTCCCCAGTCCCTTACTGGTGTCCCAGTATCCCCCAGTACCCCCCAGCACTGTTCCCAGCCCTTTTACTGGGTATCCCAGTATCTCCCAGTGTTCTCCCCAGCCCCTTACTGGTGTCCCAGTATCTCCCAGTATCCCCAGTAGCCCACCTTGATCTTCTCCTGGTACACGTGGTCATCCTCGGCGTATTCCTTGTAGAGCTCGGAGAGCTCCAGGCGCTCCGACACCAACGGGTTCTGCACCGCGATCTGGGGGGAAAAACGGGGAATTTGGGGCCGTGAGGGGAACGGGGACACCCGGGGGGATCGGGGCTTTGAGGGGAATGGGGACACCCAGGGGCATCGGGGAATTTGAGGGGAATGGGGACCCCCGTGGGGTTCGGGGGGTTATGGGGATCCCCCGGGGTCGTCGGGGGTTTGAGGGGAATGGGGACCCCCGGGAGGATCAGGGGATTTGAGACCCCCGGGGGGCTCGGGGAGATTTGAGGGGAATGGGGACCCCCGGGGGGTTTGGGGATTTGAGGGGAACGGAGACCCCCGGGGGACTCGGGGAGTTTGAGGAGAATGGGGACCCCTGGGGGGATTGGGGGATTTGAGGGGAACGGGGACCCCCGGGGGGATTGGAGGTTTCGGGGCCATGAAGGGAACGGGGACCCCCCAGGAATTGGGGGATTTGAGGGGAATGGGGACACCCCTGAGGGGATTGGGGGTTTGAGGGGAACGGGGACCCCCGGGGGCTCAGGAGATTTGAGGGAACGGGGACCCCCGGGGGGATTGAGGGGTTCGGGGCCATGAGGGGAATGGGGACCCCTGCGGGAATCGGGGGATTTGAAGGGAATGGGGACCCCCAGGGGGATCAGGGGTTTCAGGGGAACGGGGACACCCGAGGGAATTGGGGGATTTAGGGGGAACGGGGACCCCCAGAGGGATCGGGGGATTGAGGGGAACGGGGACACCCGGGGGTATTGGGGGGGTTTGAGACCCCCGGGGGTCTTGGGGAGATTGAGGGGAACGAGGACCCCCGGGGGGTTTGGGGGATTTGAGGGGAACGGGGGCCCCCGGGGGGATTGGGGAGTTCGGGGCCGTGAAGGGAACGGGGACCCCCGCAGGAATTGGGGGGTTTGAGGGTAACAGGGATCCCCGGGGGGATTGAGGGGTTCGGGGCCATGAGGGGAACGGGGACCCCCGGGGGGATCGGGGGATTGAGGAGAATGGGGACCCCTGAGGGGGATCAGAGAATTTGAGGGGAACAGGGACACCCGGGGGTTTTGGGGGGTTCGGAGGATTGAGGGGAATGGAGACCTCTGCGAGGATCAGGGAGTTTGAGACCCCCGGGAGGATCGGGGGGTTTGAGGGTAACGGAGACCCCCGAGGGGATCGGGGGTTTGAGACCCCCGGGGATTTTGGGGCCGTGAGGGAACGGGGACCCCCGGGAGGATCGGGGGGCTTTGAAACCCCCAAATGGGGCAGATTTTGGGGTGGTTTCACCGCCGTTTTTGGGTCGCGGGGTTTTTTTTCCCCACCTCCTGCTGGATCCGGTCCTGCTGCGCCATGATCGCCTCGTCGTAGGCCAAACAGTTCACGCCTGAGGGGGACACCGGGGGTCACCGGGGAGGGTCCCGGGAGGTCCCTCAGCCCCTCCGGGAGGGGTCTGGGGGCTCGGGGGATCCCCGAAGAGGGTCCTGAAGGGGAGGGTGTGGGGTTCGGAGAGCCCGGGGAGGAATCGGGGCGGTTTTTTGGGGGGTTCGGGTGATGCCGATGATGCTCCGGGGGTTATCGCGGCCTCCCCCCGGTAGAAGCGAAACCGCCGCGCGGGGTGGGTGCCGTCGGTACCGTCGGCATCGCTGCCGCCCAGCGGCTCCGGCTGCGGCTGCTGAGGCTCCTCCGCCGCCATCGCCGCCCTGCCCGCCCCGCGCCG